AGGGAAGCTACAACAGTAGCAGTGTCACGCATGTTAAGCATATCCAGCAGGGGCGTTAACCACAAGCGCTGCATATTGTGGCCATGGTTTGTATTCATTGCATTGAAATACCAACAATTGTTTCACCTGAAATGGCGCTACGGGTAACTAGAATTGGATTTAGCACAGGATGCACGTCCTGCGCGCAGCGTAGAGTATGCCGTGTCGACGAGGTCCAAGGCTACATGCAGCCAAAGCCTGGTGCCACCCAATTCTCCTTCCATTGAGCCACGTGAGGCTAGAGAACATAAACCTACTGCAGAGTGTCTGAGAAGGTTGAAAGCAATCCATTCAGAGAGCAAGATGAAGGTCAAAGGCTACTTAGCAGTTACAATCCAATATCATAAGAGTATTCCTACCAGGGAAGATAGATCTTACCATGTAAGCATCTCTCCGAAATACTGTGGGAAGCGAGCATACTGCCACAGACCAACATCCACAAATCGCCCCTTGTTGGAAGGATCACTCTTGAAAGCAAATTTCTGGAAGTCCGCGATCATCTCAGTCAGGAATCCAGTGGTGTACAGCACAATCCCTTCAGGAAAACCAAACATTCAACATTTCATGCGCCAATCTCCCAGAACTGCATCACAAGGTGGACAGCGCACAGATGTGCAGGCACATCAACTACAATGGGATCCAACCACTCAGGCCAACCAATCTGTGAATTTGCACCCTACCGCAGTACAGTGTATTGAAGGCAGACTGCATCGCCTGTCAATCCACATGCTGACTCAAGTGATAGTACAAGGCAAGATGAATTGACATTGATAAATTGTTAATATGCCTTCCAATGCTGGCAAAGATGTTCCCAATTGCATGGGATGGGGGAGGGGGGGGAGGGGTGTGTGTGTGTGGGTCACCCTGGTACCTATTACATCCGTCCACCCGAGTCCTGGGTTCCGTGAGGCGCCATTCAGCAAAATCACGGGCAGGCTGCAAACCCACACCCAAACAGCCTGGGGCACAACCAGAGCAGCGATTTCAAAACAGAGGAAGGCGGGGGAGGGTTTGTTTGACCTCATCTTGAGAGGTCCGACAAGGTGAAACAACAAATTGACCTTGCATAACTCTGCTTTTGACAACATGTGTCTTCAGAGCATACAATTATCCCTTTTATCACGCTGGCAACGGTGGGGTCACTTGCGACTGAAGTGTATGTTGCTGTGCATGTTGTATGTTGTGCATTTCTCCTCCCTCCACCTGCCAAGTGAAACTGTACATGCAAAATAATGTACCACCAACCATCAAACTACTATTGATCATCAATGCAAAAGCCAAAAATGTCTCCTTGCAGTCCAGGCCAAGGATGCCCTGTCTACTGCAGTAACCAAGCAAATGTCAAAAAGATGAGAGTTTAGAAGCCAGCATGTGCGATGCACACAAAGTGCAATTCTTTTGGCAACATTTATAAGTGTTAACAAATCAGCAACAGGCACCAGTCATGTAATGAACGAAATCACAGGATGCACAGTGGGTTTCTGTACAGGATGGCAGAGCCTGGCAACATCCAGACAGCAAACACTGAAAGTTTGTCATAGAGATTGAGTACACACTCTCACACACACACCTGAAGGGTCCAGTACACAAAGTACTGTCCAGGGTTTTTCTTTACTTCATCGAATCGGCTGTCGCCTCCTGTTTTCAGTGCTCGGTAGAAAAGGAACCCACCAAGGCGAACTGTCCAAAGCAACACCATTGATGTGGCGCCAATCTAAAAGCCAACACAGAAGCATGCATCAACAAAGCACAGGTGGCCACAAGCCCGGTTACTCTGTCCATTAGATATTGCACACACAAGACATGGCCATAGGATGCTTTCTCAAAAGTACTCAATGGCAAGGTGTCGCATTCAGCTTGTGGAGCATTTGTTGTTTCTCAGCCTTCCAGGTCTGCCTGGGAACCGATTGTGTCCATGTCTTTGCTTACATTCATTATAACACACAACACAATGGGCACAGCTTGTCATTGTGATCAAACGTACGCAAATGATACACACCGTATTCAAAGGAAATGCACACGGAAGTTAGTTGCACATCTGCCGCAGCGCATTTTGACCAAGTGTTTTGCAAGGCCTAGCATACAATGACAGTTGTTGGAATCGCAGTTTCTGCCAGTGCAGTTGGAACTCACAATGAAGCAAATGCAACCATGCCGGAATAGTCACAGTCTTGAAGACAATCGCAAGGCTATCGCATGACAAGCACATCTATTTTGGTGTACATCTGTCAGTGCATTAACAAAGCAATGCTGAACACCACAAACGCGCCTAAAGATGTACATTCTAAGACAACTGTTCAATTAAACTTGGCATTATTTGCGAACGAAGACATGCGGAATGGACAGTTAGACAGTCGGTTGCCTATTGCTTAGGTAGTTCACAACAAGACCACGCTTGCAAGCCCGCCTGTCTGATTTACTGTCCCAATGGTCTACTACAATGACCCACCATTCAAGCTTTCGAAAATGACACTTTTTTCTGCACGACTTCGGAGCTAAGCTGAGTGCAGCAGCCAGCACGCCCCCCAGCTGTTCTTGGGCAACAACAGCAGCCCCTTACCTGTCTTGCATGGTAGAATCCGCTGTTCAGCAATGAGGCAAGACCCACAGTGATGTAAGAAATGCTCCCAGTCAAGTCGTAGAATTTTTCTGTCTGGAAGGAACCAGCACCCCAAAGCTTGCAGTCAGAATAGGGTGCCAATCAACCATTTTGCATTGTTTGGTGACAACACAGTCAGGAGCCATTGCACGCCTCTTCCCTGTTCTCACTTCTGAATTTGGTCATCTGGGAAGCGCCGGGGATATCTGGCATCACACTTTTGGATCCCAGCTGCGCATGCGTGGGGCACTCCATCTCAGGGATTCATCACCTAATGTTTAGTGGGATGTTTAATGTGCCGTCGATCCCCGTTGGGACAATTGTGCTTCTTGCACACGCGACAGCAGGGTGGCGCACAGTGCACTTGTCGCCCCACCTGGAAAATTGCTGCCACGCCCCAGGCCAGCCAGTTGATGGCGAAGTCCAGGACGAGGGTGCCGACCAGGGACATCTCCCTGACGTCGAGGGACCCAAATTGAACACCCATCCCCGCCGAGCACGGTCGGATTCTGTTGCTCACGCGCGAATCAAGGGAGCCGTGGCGGGGCTTCACATGCGGCAGCCGGACGCCCAAGCACCTGATATGAACAGAACAGATGCCACGTGGTCAGCCATGTTCCAATGCCAAAAGATGGAATTTGAGCCGGCACTATGGATCGCATAGTGTCGGCAGCGGAAGGCCACCGAAGCATCCCTGGGGATCAGCCACGTAGCAGGCGCGCTCGACAAGGCAGGTCGCGCTGTCGGGCGCCAACCCACAGATGCGCGCAGCTCGCAACAGCAAAAGCATTAACACCAATCAGACCCACAGGCCCCCGGTCCATCGTCGAACCAAAAGTGTTCCACCCCAAAGATCACGGCCCTTCGCAACAGGTCCATCTGCAGCGTCTGCGCGACTTGAGGTTCAGACAGGCGGCCAAATTCACAGACATGCGTGCCCAGGCATACCCGAACACGCCACGCCCGGTCTTTCACCTCAGCAAGGACAAGTCCGCGGACAGGGCCAACGACTTGGTAACGCGTGGAGGCCACAGCGGCGGTGGGCGCGACAGCCCCAGCATTGGTCTAAATACGCGGACAAGCGGGCAACGCACCAACCCAGAAAGCAAGTTGCGTCACCCGCGAGCTGTGGAGCGAAGTGCACAAAGCGGACACCGCCATCCCCCGTGCCACATCTTGCCTGTGTAGGCGCGCCGCCTTTGAGGATTCCGTAATCCCAACCACAACCCGCCAAATACACAACACCCTCCCATCTCAACAATCTTCTCCAGCCCCGCAAACCGCACATGGTCATCACCGGTCACAGGGTGGGGCTACCCCACAGGAGCGCCATGCTTGCCATGCGCGGGGCTCTGGATCACAATCAACCCCCCCCTGGAACCCGCAGCGCAATGGCAAACACCACCACGGCTCACAAGGCTGTGGGCGCTGCCTTCTGAAGTCGCCAACCTCCACCGGCGTGCCCTAAAATGGCGCCCACAGACCCTACCCTGCTGGTGAACCTTACCAGGCTGGTGGTATGGAGCCGCTGCGGTGTAAGATCGCCCGCCACGACCACACAGCTGCGGGTAAATGGGATTCATCTTCGCCAGTAACCATAATAGATGACAACCAACCACCGCTGCTGCAGGGGAGATTCCATTGAGATGAGCTGACGAGGCCTCTGACGGGCGGATTCATGAAACTTGCAGTGTGAAACAGGGCAGTGAATGTCGATCTTCGAAGCACAAAGCCCCAAAACGGGCGAGAGAAGGGACTGCGAAGGGAGAAGTGCGCGCTGTGCTCCCTGTGGACATCAAGATTTTGGTGGTGGGTGGTTGAATCTGAGGGACAGGCTTCCATCTCTCCTATTCGTCCTCTTGCTAGAATTGTTGAAGAATGTGTGACGGTGGATTTGGGACAGGTCGGCAAAGGCAACAGCCCAGGGGCTGAATTAATGGCCAATGAATGGCTGCAGAAAGCCAGGCGCTACGCAAGAGTCTCGGAAATCCGAATAAAGCCAAATCCGAAGAGCAGCAGCACACCAAGCGTGCAGCAGGAGGAAGAAGCAAAAAAGGTACCACCAGGTTGTTAAGATTTGGTATGTACAAGTCGTTTGCTGCAAGCAGATGATGTCAAGATGTCCAAATACATGCATGCAGGGCTAAAATCCCCCCTTCCCAACAACTTCGCACAGGGCCGAATCGGCACTTTGGTGGCAAGAGGTTGCTCACCAGGCCCCAATTCTGGTTGATGGTTTGAAGTGCACACAAAGGGTTTGCAAGTGAAAGGAACCACGCTGTGGATATGTTGCTCAACCAAGCGAACCAGTCTGCATATGGCTTGCAGTTCTGCATATGGCATCAAGACAGGAGAGTGTACTCTCTCAACTCAAAATTGCGGCTGCCTGCTTGTTCATGCAGCACGTGGCATCTGCCTTCGATTCTGCCTCAAGTGTTGTCCACACTTCAGTCAAAGTCATGCACTGTGGATACAATAACAAAAACACATATGGATGTGTTTAGTTGGTCCCTCACTTGGTGGTGTTGTGGTCTCAAAGCGAACATAAACAAAATGAGTTCAAATGTTGTGTTGGTATTGCTGTGCCTATTGGCATGGACCCCTGACGAATGATACTGGACTCTCAAGGTGCTGAAGCTCATTGGAGAGGAAGATATTGCCATTGTATTGGATGAAAGAGGCAAGGACATCACATCTCAGGGCATGGCACAGCTGATTGCTGAAGCAGGTGACATGGGCTCACCATTAACATTCTGCATTGGTGGTCCTTACGGTCACACCCAGGAAGTCCGTGAGAGGGCCAACAAGGTTGTGAGATTATCGTCATTGGTGCTAAATCACGAGGTGAGGAAGCCAATATTGTAGGGACTGCCCACACAAGATGGGAGAGGGAGCCCTGAGAGAAGGGGCCCAGAGAGAAGGGGCCCATAATGTCATTGATGATCATGCCATTTTTTAACAAGAGTAATGGTTGGACAGGGGTTCATTTGCAAATATTGTAGCCCACAGCCCATGTACCATAGTATATTGTACCCTTCTGCATTCTGAAATTTCAGCATTACGATTTTTTGCTCTGCATTTTTTTGACAGACCATTATTTTTGGGGCCTCGGTATCATCGTAACAGCCGAAACGGCGACTTCGCTCGCTTCACTTGGCCTCAAATGCCGGTTTGCGGCCACAATGACTCATGCAACTGGGACCGCTAGATGCCACGAGCAGTCCAGAGATACTCACGTCGCAGCTGGAGCTGCTCCACATTGTTTTCACACCGTTGCGTTTGAATGATTGCTCTGCATAAAATGACCAAACGCTTCGTTACCATGCAAAAGGGTATAGTACACTACGCTATTTGGAACTGCGATCGCATGACATCATGCAATCTTGCCCCATGCAGTCACATTTCGCGCATCAGCCCCTGATTAGGGATTGTGACAGGCACTGCCACCCTGGGATGATGTGACAGCTGGCTGTATACTCTTGCTGTTGTACCCTTACTGATGCAATCGCAGGTCAGAATATCAGCGCACATTCCAACCTGCGATCGCATGACTCATGCGTTCGCGGAGGCGCCACTGGTCCCATTAGTACGGTGACCATGAGATTGTGGGTTGGAACATAGCCATGGTATTTCTTGCCAGGCCGTTACAGGAGTGTTTTGCTAAGCCACAACGATGTAACCACCAAAGTAGAATAGATGCAACATGAGCACTTGGTTACTCAGCAAAGCTGTGTCACAGTTATGGGAACTCTGACAGTTGACAGGCTACTTCACTGTGGATACTGTCAATGTCTCTGAATCTAATGCATTTTTCCTATTGTCTGTATGCTGCCAAACAGAATTTGTTGTGGCTGCAGCTGTCACCTTAAAGTAGTTGTGGAACAAGAACGGCAAGCAACGAGCAGTGGCCAATGGAATACTCGTGGCCTGATGGTTGACAAACTACAGTCAAGTACGAGATGTAGAGACTGTGAACGTAACATGAATATTCACTTTGTCCTTAAACATGAGGCCAATGAGGGAACGATTTGCTTCACCTAGGCTGCCCTGCGTTGTGTGGGATCCTGCAGTACAGATGGAGATACACCAGCTACAGTAATAAAGTGGTCCCCCTTACCAGTTGCTTTATGCTAGGCCACCTGCCACACACATTATACCAGTTGGTTGGTTGCCAGAAGCCAGATTCAAGCATGGTGTCATTAGAAAACCTGGCAGACGGTTGTCTTCTGTTGCATATGTCGTGCCACTTGAGGTGTTGGCATTTACCTTTTACCTACCCACTCACCTACAGCTCGCCGCAAGTGATGATGATGATGATGGTGATGTTCTTGGTCTGGGCAGGTGGCACGAGTGGTGTTGTTTGAGCAACTGTACCGTGCGTGGACCATTCTTAAAGGACATCCTTACCATCACTGAGGTGGTTGTTTCAGGCTCCCCAGAAAACGACTGAAAGATGTGCATATTGTCATATATTACCATCAGGGGAGCACAGCTGCCATATTAGTCTCCCCCACAGCAATCTGTTCTCCTTATGCATGGCTACTGGCACAAGTTTCTTGTTGTTCTTGTTTCCATTCGCTCTAGAGATAAAACCATCAGTTGGACCATCATGCAGGCACCAGATGTGGTATGTGCTTTTTGTGTGGCAGCAGCATTTATGGTGTGCGATTTGTGGTGTGTGATGTTCGCACCAGATTCCAATGTCTTTGCGTGATAAAATCGTCGCTGCATGTTGTCTTGATGGAGTTACGAATGAAGCCGTCGCTTTGCGGCAACGTTTTGACAGTCCAGATGTCCTTGGATTCACTTGTCCAAAAACGGCAAAACACGACCCTTGCAGGCGATGAAGGCCATGTTTCTACTCACGACAGTCATCTTGAGTGTCAGTGCACCTGGACTGTGTACAACTTGATTTTCAGTGCACTTGGCAGGCTCACGTCCGTGCTCCCAGAAACTGAGCGCAGGGCACGGACTGCCATATGCACGCTGGCTGCATTGCGATATAAGAATATCGTTGACGTGCGAACAGATATGGCCATCTGCTGTTGTGTCAAGTTGTAACAAGTATGCTTTGAAATTGCAGTACATTCAGGTGCAGAGGCAACGAAGGTTGTATGGGACTCTGCCATCCTGTGAGGTCCGTTACTTCTGCAGAGACAGTTTTGGATAACAACATGGTATATTGAAGCCGAATCGAGATGAAGAAACATTCCTTCTGTTTGGGTGTGGAGCATCACTACGGTCAAGTCATACGTCGCGTTTTTGACCAGCCACGCTCCTTTATCTTTGCTCTACGTTTCGGAAGTTCCTGGTCCAGGAGAAAAGCGGGCAAATGCTTGTGCAGCTTTTTCTTTCTTTGTTTGATGCACAGAACACAGAGCCATGGCCAAATGCATCAACCGATCCCTCCACATGCCATGCTTGCTACACCATAGCAGCTGCAGTGCCGAATCCGACTCCTTTCCAGTTCTCATACGCCAAACACTCCACTCTCCCAGATGGTATCAGCGATTGCTGGTGGCCGTGGCGGAATGGCATAGACGTCAGATACGGGGCTACATGCAACAGGACACACGACACACATGACAAGGCATTTGCATCTGCAACGAGCATTCCCCCTGAGCAGTATGAACACTGCAGTATACCCATTCTTGGACGAGACTCTGGCATCTTTTGCAATTTGTGCAGCAGCGCCGCTCTCGTTCATGGCTTGTAGGTACGCGTTCGAGTACTCGAGAGCCACCTACTGCCTTTCCAGATTTCAAGCCTGTGGACTGCAGTGCTTTGGGTGCTCTGTTTAAACTGTGTCGGGCCTTCCCCACGACTGGCGTGGGTATACATTGCTTCAACAGACCCTTGTCAGGATCCCCGCTCTCGGCTCATCAGATCATACTATTATAGCCATTTGCGACGAATGCATAACACTGTCAGTTGCATCCAGCAAAACTGGGGCAACACCAGCCGTTTGGTCCGCACTTGCAATGCAATTATGGCACAGAAACCCACACATGTTACACAATTTACAAGAAATAACTAGAATTGGACAGTGAGATGCACACTAATAGTCAGATATCGTTTCTGTACACCAACAGCCTGCCTCTGGAGTAGAGGACACAGCATGCCGCTACCCATGCACGCCACCCACTGCCAGGAAGGTCCCAGTTCCCTCAGAGATCTTTCTTTGAATTGCAAAGCGTGGGAAGCTTGGCTCACGCTCTCCTTTCGTTCTAAAATTTCCCCTGAGCACCTCGCTCAGTTCCTGCTCCGTTCAGACGTGTCCCCAAGCGCAGGGCTGTAGCAACTGCGAGACCAAGTGCAACCATTACAAGTGCTCCATGGCAATAGAACACACCAATTTTCGCACTTGAGTATTCTCTGTGCAGTGAGCTCAGAGGCGGGCGTCTGAAGCCCCTTTAGGTACGCATCTGGTGCTGATGGCGATCACCCCTCGGGTATCTACTGTTTGCTTCCCTTCAAGGCATGAACAACCCAACACACCGCTTGTGTGCTGCCTCGAGCTGAAAACAAACTACAGTTCGGCATCAGAACTATGGCGCATGAATGGTGATGCAGCGTTTCCACCATATACTCTGTCTAGCTCAGTGGCACAAACGTCCCTGTCACAAGAAGCCGGGAAGCGCATGCACGATCCTGCACAAAACGTCCTTGACCTGCACTCCCTGCTACTGCCCCCTCTCACAGGAAAAGCAGAACAATCACTATGATGACGATGACAATGGCCGCGTTCAGCAGCAGGATTGCAAGGATGTACTTCCCATACTTCTTGCACTCCGACCAAACAAACGCCCAGTCGAGGTTGGGCTCCGGCCTGACTTGCGTCTCCTCCTGCTCTGGCGGGCATTCCACCAGAAACGCCTCCCTGCTCTGCGCAGGCTCCACCTCCGGCTCTCTATCGTCGTCCTCTAGCAGGTGCGCCGTCAACACGTGGCGCGGCACCTGCGCCATTCACTCATCCCGTGTCGCCACGCCAGTCCGCTCAGATGCGGCGCCTGCTATGAAGCGCCTGCGCCAGCTCCGACCACGTTGGTTTCGAGGTCGGGTGCCAGGGCAAGCGGGTCCGCTGGGGCAAGTCAGTCGATGCGCCTGGGCCGTTCTTGGACGCTGTTTCCAATCATTGCCGCTGTGCAACAGAGTGCGGGTGTGGTCTCGGTGTTCGTGAGCGTTTCCACGGTTGATGACCTAAAATTTCCCTAAATCGAGACACCGCCGTACTTTGTGCGGGTTTTCCCAAGAAGCGTATAAACCTGCTGAGCACAACTGACGGCAAAGGTCAGAGAGTGGTTGGTCGCGCGGGCCTGCTGTTGCGACGCCGGGCGTCCGCGATGGTGTTCGCCACTCGAGCGCTTCAGGTGGTGTTGAAGACAACGGGCGGCCGCCTGTGGAACAAGCCCTGGGGCGTACCCAAGATGACGCGGACGCAGAAGGCGAACAGGAGGAAGAACAGACTGCTGGTCGGCGAGAACAGGGACGTCTTGAAGATCGCGGCGAGGGCTGATGCGAAGGCACAACGGGAACCCGCAGCCAGGAGCGGGATTTGATGGAGCTCGTCTTGGAGAGGTGATAGGGGAAGTGCCGGGTTCGCGGTCGCCGTGCTTTCCAGAAACGTTCTTTCGCACTGAAGGGAGGGTTAAGAGGGGGAACATGCTAGAGCAGGGGCCTGTGTGTAAAATTGACGTTCATTGAGGCATTGCTAAACCTTAGTTGATGCAGGCATGCGGGTCCTGTTTTAGAGATGAGGGGCCCTCGGCATATACTCACTTGATGGCTCCATTGTTGCGTGCTCAAAACTGGAAAAAGATCGGTAATTGAGTAACAAGGTTTAGCTCCGTAACTGAGTGACAGTGTGTAGTGGCAGTGAATGTAGGCTTGCCTTACTGCAGCTGTCCGGAATGCTGCCAATTGAACGGGGTAGTCGCCCAGCAACTAGTCGTCCAACCCTTGTTGCACCTGGCTTAAGCACACTTCCTTGTACTGCTACCATAGCACCGTGGCTATGCCACAGGCCTGTTATCCATCTTCCTAGGCCCATGCAGCAGGAATGGAGTGGGATATCACCTGGTTTTGGTTGTGGCCCAAAGGCTGTGTGCAATACGGTGGCGCCAGCTGACGGCTGCAATACGGCCATTTGGCGGACACTTAATGGACTGCAGTCTTGCGCTGTTTGTTGCGAGGTGCTTGAGTGGAGGACTTGGGGCAGTCCATCTTATGGTTCCACAAAAGCCACAGCGAAAGACTTAGAAATAAATGGAAAGCCGCAATGACCAGGGGCAGATCATCTGCTAGGCCGCAAGTATTGCGAGCAGAAGTTGTTGTGCTGGGCGCATTGCTCGAAGATGGCGCCCAGTCCACTTGGAAACTTTGCAGATTTTCTTCACAGCTGCCTGTAAAACACTCTAAGTGTGCACAAAACGGTTGGAGCCATTGGCCTGGATGCGGATTCCAGCATCAAGGGGCAACGGGTTTAGGGACACTGGAAGGCATTCTCGGTGACGGTGCAGAGATCACCACCGTGCTCTCCTCCAGCTTCGGGACGACAGGTCAGATCACTTTGGGTGCATTCGGGCTCGTGCCATGGGTGAATGCTGCAGATGAGCAACTCACAGGAGAACACAGTTGCAAACACAATGAGGGACTTGCACAAGAAAAAGTGTAGCGGACAACATTCTGCACGTTCCCCATGAGCGGCTGCGCCCAAAACTAGGATTCCCAGCCAGTGCCCCCCCTCAGCATCCACAGCCGCGTTCTCAGCACCCCACCCCGCAGAGGCCTCGCTGCTCCAAACGGCTTCAAGGTATCGAAGCACGTGGTTAGCGACAACACAGTGCACTGTGCCCCTTCCCCCGCTTGCCCCTCGCCCATGTCCGGCATCTACTGCTTGCCCGGCCGCTTCCTGTTGGCCCTGAGCCTCTCCCTCAGCCTCAGGATCACCGACCTCTCGTCCACCGGCATCTGCGCGAAGTGCGCCGTCACCACCCGGCACAGTTCGTCCTTTCCGCTGCACAGCCACACGCCGCGCACGTGGTACAGCTTCACGTACCGCCGCAGCGACGAGTTCTTGAGCTTGCTCAGGTCTACGATGGGCTTGGTCCAGAGCGCGTCATCCACCGCCCTGCCCTCCCCTCCGCGCACGCCGTCGCCTGAAAATTTTCCCGGCAGCGTGCTCGCTGGGCGCGGCATGGGGACGCTGGGCATGCGGCGTTGTGTGACAAGGGCCCTGCGCTGGACACCCTCCCACCGCAATCCCGCCAAAAAATCGTTGCTTCCGCGGAGATGCCCTTGAAGGGTCTCCGCTGTGGCTGGGGGAGTGACAGGCAGCGCAGGGGGAGCGCACGGGGGCGGCCGGGCGCCTGGGGGCGGGCCTCAAGAGAGGCCTGGCGTCGGCGCTGTCGGTGGTGCAGGGCGCCGACCGGCCAGTACTTTGTGCCTTCATGTTGGTCCCCGGTCGGACTGTCAGGCGCCAGGTGGCCCACAAGCCGGCGGAACGCCCGCGGCGGGCGACGGGGTGTTTCGTGCGAGCGTCACGAGGGGGTGGCGAAGAGGGGAATCCGATGAAGGATGGACCCTGGTAGCAGCGGGGCTGGCATCAATGGAGTGCACAGACAGGAGTCCAAGTGGCACTTTTCAAGTGGAGAATATATTACTCCCCGTTCTTGTTTGCTGAATTTCGGTTCTTGTTTTCGGACACCCTAAACCCCAACTACTGATCCACGCACCGGGACTGGCCTTGTCAGCGGAACAAGAACCGAAATTCAGCAAACAAGAACGGGGAGTAATTTTATACCTTTCAAGTGGCACCTTGCGTGTGGTGTGGCGTCGAGCCTCGTACCACCGCCGGAATGGCGTCCAAGTGGCGAATCTTCCGGCAATGGGCCAGTCACGGACGAAAATGAACGCCCGCCCGATCGAGCGGAACTCGACGGCGAGGATGCACCCACAGTGGGCGACTGTCAGTGCGGCATGGTAACCACTCAGCAGGGTACAGTCCCCAAAAGACACGCAGAGAAACAACGAAGTGGGGCCAAGGTTCGTGTTTGTTACAAGCAAAGTCGCACGTCCGTAAATAGTCCGGCCATTGGGTGTGCACCAACATGATCTCCGCCTGACACCCAAAATGGTCACATCAACCCTTGTACAGCACTGCAATTCATCGTTCTCTGGTGCGCCGCCCTCGCCTTATTGTACGAACAGTCCCAGCTCATGCACCACTCTGCGTTACCCTGGGTTTCGACCCCGTCTCAACCCTTGGGTGCGTTCCTAGGGCTCCAAAGTACGGGCACCGCCTGCTAACATACTAGCCCAATTTACCGTAACGCCAACATCTCCTAGAGCCCGGAACCAGGCACGCTACTCAGAATGCTACTACGCCCATGAATCGTACTGCGGTGCTGGCCGCTGGTCCCCCGCGCTGGGGTACAGCAAGTGGTGCGGCACCCATAGTAGTTGGACGTTGTAAGGTACTGGGAAACGCACGCGTGCAGCACCCATAGTACTCTAACCACCTAAAGAACTCAGAAATTGGCTTCTGGCGCACCCACGCCCATGCTCCCACCGGCACGCTCCGCCACCAGTCATCACAGTGCGCCTCGGCTCATTAAGGCCCCCGGTGCTCACCATTCTTCATCATCGAGGCTCAGAATGGCACGTTCATCAATCACACCATCAGGGAAGGCATGGCACGTCTTCTAGTCATCTGGCACGTCTTCCAGAAATGCATGGCCGCAACTCCATATGGGCTGATCAACGGGCTCCTTGTCTCATTAGCATCTCAACATTGGCACAGCTCATCTTCGGGAATTCGTCTCAACGCATCAAGGTCTTGGGTTCGGCACATGTTCAACAATCGACATGGAAAACACCCGGCTCATCCTCAGGAGTCCGGGGTCATTAAGTTGGCCACCAAGGGTTTCATTCCCTACATATTCATGCCATCTCCATACTGTCTACTGAATACTCAAACAACTATAGACCACTGTAACCAGGACCATAATGGAACCTTAATGATAGGGGACGTGGTTCCGGAGGGGTACTTAACAAATCGCCACATTTGGCGCCCTTCGCGCAGATTGCCCTCCGCAAAAAGGGATCTGCAACCCGAAACACTGAGGCAACATTGATCCTGTTGGCGGTACCGAATGCCCTCGGTGGAAAAGAGGCCTGGGACATGAATTGGCATCCTTATTTCAAAAAGGTAAGTCAACACTTGACTGTATTTACAGCATAAACAGACATGGACTTGGTGCCTTCTCATTGATGGGATACAACTTGCGAAAGAGGGAGATGGGGGGGAATTGTGAGCCGATCCTCGTTGCGTATCGGAGCATCATCGGTGAGCAGCAGGCATTGCTGTGCGTTGCAATGCTTCTGTGCACGATATCGAGCGGGAGGAGCATGATGCGGCATATGTGCATGTGATCACAATTGCTAGCACTTGGTCAGCGTGTCCATGTACGATGGTGAACGGTGGGCACTTGTTCAGAATTTCCACACGCGAGAACGAATCACCTATTCTTGTTCGGCATCTCTATGTAAGATTGCAATCAACCCAGGCTTGTTCAGCGTCTTTGCAACGGGAAGACATGAGCAGCAGCAGCTTTGCAGCATCTGCAGCCAACATCCGACAATCCACAGCTCACACAAATGCACCAAGGATGCGTTAACCTCTCAAATCCACGGAGCACCTGAATCCACCTCGACGTCAAGGTCGACCTTGCCATACCGGTCCTGAGATTGCGCACGAACTATCGGCCTGCAAGCGTGCGCACTCGTCAATCATGGATCGATGGATGCCGACAACGTCAAGGATGGTGTTTATGTCAATCTAAAGAATTTCGCGTGTGCACTGGTAGAAAACGTCATGTTTGCGATGCCAGCTGCAATGCCATTTTGACACAAATCGATGCCGTCACAGTGAGTGCGATGGCACGAAAGCGGCTGTGATGGCATCAATTTGTGCCAAATGGCATCGCAGTTGGCATCGCAAACAGGCTGTTTTTTACTGGTGGTGAAGTGCATCAAGAGTACTGCTGTCACTGAAGCAGAAATGGTCGTAGAACTCAGCAAACGATTTTATCTGTGCAGAATATCGAAGAATGATCTAGCTTGGGGGACGATTACATGAATCACGTGGGTGGGTGTGGGCATGCCCATCCTGAGCGCAGCACATAGATTCCATGCCATCAAATGGCCGGTCACAACCAAGACCGTGCCGCATGTGTTGCCGCTGAGCTGCGTGCCACACAGTGTGTGGGACGCGTGGGTAAAGAAGGGCATCGAGATGAACGCAATGCGCTCCAGGCACTGCGCTGGTTCGGGGTGGTAAGATGTGCCAGGTTGCGCTTTGTGTTTTTTTGGAAATGTTGGTGGATGCAGCGGCCCCTCTAAAATGATGGGTGCCTGAATGTTGTGCGTTGGACATTGAGCTTTTGGCGTTCTGCCAAAATAGCTCTCGGCCTCAATATGTCATCGATAACAAATAGAAACCGCATCTGTGCCTTGCATATGGTGTGGAAGAACTGGGCTGATGCGGTTTCTGGCAATTGAATGATGTGACATGCAATTGGAGTGTGTTCGAGTTCCCACAAAATGACCAACATTTGTTGGCGACTTTTGCGTTTTGGTCATTGAATGGAAGCGCTGGCCGTTTGCCTCAAGCCGGCATGGGACAGGGCCTGTGATGGCGTCGTTTTCTAGTGCATTACCAAGGATGGCGCTCAGGGCCATTACGGCGGTCGCCAACACACGGGGGGCTGATGGAGCGACGGTATCTGGGGCATCCCGTGAGGCTGGCATTGGCGTGGGTTTTGATGGGTCGATGGCACGGAGGAAGCGGGCGAACCGCGGCGTGCAACGTGCTGAAGCGTGCGGTGCAAAGAGGTGTGCAGCGGGGTGCAGGGTGATGCGTTGCAGGGCGCAAAGTGGTGGGTCGCGGGCTGCGATGCATAGTGGCGCGGGGTGAGAAGTGACGGGGAATGGCAGGCAGACATTCTGATTGAGTGGACGCGTGAGTTCGCGATGAGAGGCGGGCACAGCATGTCGTGCCCGCCAGATACAAGTATGGCGCTGTCCGCCCCAGTGGGGCAGAGGCCGAGGGGAGCAAGTCCTGGGGATTTGCAAGGATTTGTCGTTTGTCCGCGCGCCTGGACTCTCCAGCAGGGACACGTGGAGGCGGCAATCCAGAGTAGTTACTGGCGGACTTCGCGTTACGGCGTGAGTCGGTCTCTCGGGTCATGGATGATGTGCGTTTTCCCTCTCCCGGAGCCTACGGTGGGTATGACGTAGAAGGTCGGACTGCTTTGGGTTTGAGTGAGGGATTTGATGTGCTTTGATGGTCATGGCGGGTGCCAATCGTGATGGGGCGCCAAGGCCGTTGAAGGTGAACGGGAAATGTGCATTATGAAGCGATCGCGGGTTAGTTGGAGAGTGGCGAGCGCCGGTTATTCTGCCGTGATGGGCGTGTTGCCACCAGCGCTTTGGTGAGGAGAATGGTGGTAGGAGGACAAAGGGTCGATGAATTGCTGAAAGCGTGGAGTGGGTCACCAATCAGGGCGACATGGGCGTCTCCTGATGTGTTTGACCGAGTTTTAACTGGGCGTGCCAACTCATCTTTAGGTTGGAGGTGAAAGCGCGTACCGAAGGGGGGTTGAAAGCATGTCAATCCCACAAAGCACTGCTGCATGTACGAAGGGATTTGCCACCCTCATCTTGGAACGCAGTGGTCATCCACGACCGAGCCCAAGTTTTTGGCTTCCATTTGTGTTAAATCTGATGATCATGCCGTCATTTGTGGATGATGCTGGGCATGGCTTTAACAAGTGCTAATGGCCATATTGAATTGCAGCAAGGGGACACCTTTTGACAGGTAGTGGATGTTGTAACTTGGGATATGTGGTGCAGATGTACAGATGTCCGGAGCGAAATGCTCTTTCCATGAGGCGACTATGTAGTTGCCTGCATGGGTACCTATCTTCATGTTGTTAGATATGGAACGGATAGGTTAGTGTGGTCGTTGGCACTGCGGGTTGGATGTGGATGGTGTGATGATTTTGGCGGCCACGAGCTGAGGCACACTCGATGGGACCTGCGTGGCGAAAAGAGAAGTGGAACAGAAAAGATTGGACATGCTTGTACAAATTTTCAGTTGCCAAGGTTTGCAAATGGCACGCAGCTTTTTACTTGGTCCCTTATGCAATTCC